TTGCTTTTTGAGGGGGGTATGGTTTTTGAGTATGGTTCTTGTGGATAATTATTAGAGAAAAAACGACATTATTAAACCAGTAAACTATCCTAACTTTCTAATGGGGGAATCTCCAACATAAGGAACTCCAATTGCGCGTATGCTGACTTTACGTCCCATTTTGCATTGTTTCACGCCTTATTTGGAGGTTTGGCGTGTCGTGAAGCCTTGGATTCAGGTGGATTTACGATAGTCAAAGCCGCATTGGCAGTTGTCTTTAGCAGTAGTCTATGTAAACAGGATACTTGCTATGCAGTCTCCCCTGTCGGACATGAGTCAAACTTGGAGCCGCGATGGGGCGACCATTTCACAACGCAAAAAAAAAATGAGGCTACTTCACATGGCAATCTGATGTCAAAGACTCCATAAAACACCGCAAAACACATGCCGAGATCATGATGTTGATTAGAGGCAGCGTCCTAAATATCAAGAAACCCGATTGTGAAGTATCCGGTAATTTAGAATATGGGTTGCTATTCAGTTGAGTTGGGACTGGGAGAGCTGAAGGTCCAAATAAATATGCCACCACTATTCATGCCGTTTTACTTCGTTGATTCTCGATAGCAACACTACGAGTGCTTTTGCTGATGGGAAAGACTGAGTGAGGAAACTAACAATTTAGCGGCTATGATGCATTCGTTTGTCGAGTCTTGTGACTCTGTTATGAATGCACAACTCGTGTCACCTGTAGACATGGTTATGTCACGTGTCATGTCACCATGGCCCAGATGCAAGAGGGCTTCCTTGGGCAACCCGCGCATGTCCCCTCTGGTGTAAACACAAACGTCAGTGGAGCTTTCGGCGTAGTTTTTCTTGAAGCCAAAATTTGTGAGCTGGCGCTGAAATGATTCCAATCTGCGATGACGAAAGTAGGTCGGCATCGCTTCGAGAAGTGCAGAAGGAGGGAGGGGGATTATTAGGTTTCCAGAGTTCCAGGAAATTAAATGGGCTTCAAGCTGAGTGACTGCTGCATACAGTCGTGGACCGAATTCTTTTTTTGAGGAACAGCCCGGAATCAATTTAGGATGGCATCTAGTTCGCTTGTGATCTTGAATCAGACGCTGTAGCTGAGACTTTTGCTCGAGAGTGAGCACATGAATATTTTTCACGTCATTGAGCGTCGTAATTGTCTTTCGTTGCCACGACCCTCGCAAGAATTGCTCAAAGATGCACTCAACATGATACCAGCTTGTTTTTGAACATTTCATCTTTCTGCCGATACGAGGCGTACCACGGGCAATCGCACAACGGCAACTTCGCTCCCTACACTTCGACCTTGAGTTGTTCGCGATCGATGCCTGCTAGTCATGAATTTGTTATTGTTCCTTGGCGCGAAGTTTCGACTACGAACCTCATATGATGGGTCCATATCATCTATATTGTCGAATCGATCGCCCGAAGAGAACGACGGCATAGCTGCAGAATGGATGGTGAATCCTACAAGTGCTTCCCAATGCGTTATACGATCTTTGCATGGGATAGGTCTCTTTTCACTTGCCTTAAGTTAAAATCGCGGGG